GTGTGTGTGTGTCTGTGTGTGTGTGTGTGTGTGTGTCTGTGTGTGTGATGATATTCACCAATATATAACTTAGTATCCACATGTCTTTTTGGTTTTGTACATCATGGTTCTACTTTTTTCTTCTTCTACTTCCAGGCTCACCTATCAAGCATGAAAAGCGCACACCATTTTCTCCATCTCTCCTGACGTCGACCACCACAATGGTGCCTTCGGAGAGAGTTGACGCCATAGATAACCACAGCAGTGGTGCAAATATCAGTGGTGGTGGTGGTAGTGGTGGGGTCACCACCAACCACGTCAGCAGCAACACTAGCCACGACAACTCAAATGTCGCCGGAGGCTGCCCAACCACGGTGGGTGGCAGCAACAACGGGAATAGCGTTCATTCCAGGACTCCGGACGTTGAACCCGGTGACCCCAAAGGACCGCCCACTCGCCAAGAGTGCTCAAAGGTAACGATCTAACACACCTTTTCCCCCCTTTTTTGTTCGACAGGAGCAGCATTGTAACGGGGTGTTTTTCGTGACATGGTTAGGCTCTTTTGACGTCGCACGTATCTGACGATAGTTCTCTTCCCTTTGTTCCTGGGTTTTTTTCTGGGTTTTCTTATTTTTAGTTTTTTAAAGAATTAAATGGAGTATTTCTGTCTATCAGCTGGGATGTTGTAGCATTTCACTCGTCCTTAGTTGGGCGAAACAGACAGACAAAGCTAAAGTAGACCGCCTCCTGAATTTTCTAAATATTGTGTTGATGGGGGCGAAAAACGCTTACAAAAAATAGTTTCAGGTGTATATTATATCATTTTAAAAGGGATCCCAAAGCTATCGGGTGAGGGAGAGCTTTTTTCCCCCTTAACATGACTCTCAAGAGACATATCGACACCAAAGAAAATTGAACCGAGTGCCAATTCAGTGTGGAGAAAAGGCGCCTCCCTTCCTTAGGTCATTGACATAGTAGGGTACAACTACTGTCACCCATTCAAAGGAGGGAGCTTATGCCCCTCTTGATGGAACATGGAACTAATTTATGTTCTTCGCTCGCTATGCGACAAGCGTGTTGTTGGATTGAACTATGCATAAGTGAGTAGATTTTTAAAAAACAATTTGGGTTTGCTTTGCCCCATATAAAATTTAAAGTGAGCATATAGTTATAGTCTTGTATCTCTTCCATTCTTAGGCCTACTAAACCTCACATTTAACTTGCTTTGATGATCACCTGTCCAAAACAATCACCCGTTCAAACAACCACTTCCAACTCCCTCCCCCCCCCCCCTTGAATTTGTTATATTATTACAATGACACTCTCCGAGACGTCCACCTATCCAGAAAACAACTTTTCTCTTCGACAATGGATGTCTGTCTTGAACAATTTTGACTATACTTCCTTCTGCCAATCTGTTCATTCCAATCTTATCTTCTCAGTTTCCCAGGGGATACATAAATGGACCACTTATTTGGCGCTCTAATTATCATTTATTTTGATGTATAAATTTCTCTCTACTTATTGGCAGTTGAGTGAATCTGGGAGTAAGGTTAAGCACCTTTCCCAAGGATGAGGATGCAGGTTGCTCGTCTGCTATGGGGCCAGCGATCGAATCCCTGATTGTAAAAGGGAATGCATTCTTATTCAATAGGTCCCGTCTGTAGGGAAGGGGTGGTCTGCCAAGTCAGACAGACCAGACTTTTTCTATTGACGGAAATCGGCTTGAATACAATTTGACCACGACAGGAAATAGTCCCCCGTACACAATAAGTATGTACTAATGAACATGGGTCTTTGTTAACGGGCTCTACCAAAACAAGTACTTTTGTTAAAGAATTATGATCCAAGTACCGTACCAATGGAGCTCCACACATACTATTTAATCATTTCACTGTGACATTATTATGATTAAAGAGGGAAAGTAATATATCCCTATTTTTCACTCAAATGTTTGTTTGGTGGTTTTTTTAATTTTACCTTGCGGTTTCATTTTTCCCCCTCTATTGTTTTTACCTTGTGGGTTATTTCTCCGTAAGTCACATTGGCCTCGACCCAGAAATAATCAAATGATTGCTTTTAGACCAATCGAGCTACATTGAGCTAACTTGTGTGAAAGCAGCAGGGGGAAATCCGGAGAATCTTCTCGTTGCCATTCTTCCGAAACCACATAAACAACGGGAAGGTTTCGAAAACGTGTACAGCTCACTAAAACCATTTGACATAGATCTAGTCCAATGATGTGTACTCTTTGCCTCGTGACGTAGGAGGCAGACACAACCTTCGATGTCTTTCAGTCTTGTCCTATTTTTTCGGTGGGGAGCGAGCGATTCTTAGCAAAAACAATTTTGTTCTACTGGCCTTGGTCTTTTCAGATGATATCCTTGTTTTGTGCAATCCCAACGCCCTGCAAACGAAGAGAGAGAGAGAGAGAGAGAGAGAGAGAGAGAGAGAGAGAGAGAGAGAGAGAGAGAGAGAGAGACTTTGGAAATGCAAGGGGCGAGAATGACATGAAACAAATTTAATATGTGTTGTTTTTGCAATACTGAAAGCTGCATATAAAACTGCACGCCTTTATATAATACCTATTCAACCCTTCAGTTTTCTCTTATAATAGTAATCGTCGTCCTCATTTTCCCCCTTCTCCTCCTCCTCCTCCTCCTCCTCCTCCTGCTTCTCCTTCTTCTTCTTCTTCTCCTCTTGTTCTTCCGCTTTCTCCTCCTGTTCTTCCTCCTCCTGACAGAGAAAAGACAACAAATGGAGTGTTCATTTAATTTCAACACAGAAATGAATCTTTTAAAATGTAAATCATTAAGACTGCAGATAATGTTGTTTTGTTTAATGACAGTCTTGTGTCCCTTTTAAACAATGGATCTCATGACTTATCAAACAAAGAGACAGCAACATACGACGTTCATAATAGTGCACAGTACACCTTCTTGACAGCATCTGAGACTGGTTTGAACCCGGGCGGCCCGTATTTCATTTTCCAGACAACGACCGGCTGTTTACCGCGAACGAAAATGAAAAGCCAAGACGATGAATCTTAAGCAAATCTTCCTCAAAGAAAAGGAAAGGAAAGGGCATTGGTTGGTGTGGGTAGTATCGACTGGATCGTCTTTAATTAAGGAAGTCGGAGCTAAGCACAAATGTGGGAATCGATTCTGTGTCCTCCACGTACTGTGCACTCTTGTGTCAGCCAATCAAGCTGCGTCTTTTGTGTGTCACCGTTCAGTGGGTCGCCCTGGTACCCAGAAGGACGACTCTGGGGGTCACCGAGTTTGGACAGCAAACAAAGAAGGTCCATTGTCGAGCAGAAAGCTCTCCCCGTGTTATGAAAAGGATATGAGTGAGTTCGATTACCAGTCCCAGTGGGTATGATATTATATCCGTTGGAAACGTATTATACCCCCATTACAATCGATTGAGGTGGAGAATGTTAACGGTAACAATTAGCCCCCATCAGGCAGCAACATTGTATTCCCATGGGCGACTGATGTTGTACTTTGGAATCAGCAGGTTTGTCCAAGCACCTGTGAATTATGACCTTTCGTTATTACTTTTAGTAAGAGTTTTATGGCACGTGTAACTCAATTGTGTCATACAAGTGCCAAAGATAGAGGTGTTGCCAGAGAGTAACATTTTTTTTAAAAGAGGAGAGATACAGCAATGCCATCACTTCTGTCCCACGTTGCATCTCTTTGGAAGCGTCTTTGACGCCAGCTACGAGTATTGTAAGTGAACAACATTTAGGCTCTTCGGTGTCGTATACAGAAGACCTGAGTCTGCATACCGAGTTGAGAGAATCTTAATAGAGTATCTCAGTCTTTCTGCTTGGAAATTGTATCCCTCTCAGCCCTGGTTGGCCCTGACAAGCAGGATCGGATGCCTGCTCCTTTAATTGTGTCAATTGGGTTGTAAAACCCATTAGGTCTTGGACATTACATACCATTTTAACATCTACGGGAAAGTGGGGAGTTGCTGATGTTTTGAATCATGGGTCTCGAATAGATATAAAAAGATGTAAAAGTCGGGAAAAAGTCTTAATTTAGATTTAGTAAGAGTTCAGCGGCCCTTGCAACACATTTATAAAGCCATATATATGCCATATAGGTGCCGAAGATTGGAAGTGTTACAAGAGAGTAACAAACAAAACGAACAAAAAAGGAGGATAGTTAACCACTTCAGATCACGCGCCAACCACCCACTGAAAAAGGTCTACGTAGTAACTAAACGCGTAAACACTATGATATCGTAATCGTGGCTGATGTTAATGTTGATGAACTATACTACACGAAGAGTTAACACGATGACGGCCACATTTCGCCAGAGACAGAGAATAGGGTATAGCAACACTGACAAGAAATATAAGGTGCAGACTACATCAAAGTGATAGTTCACCATCAGCCGGGACACGAATCATCAGACAGCCACAAGTACAGAGGATTGTCTGAACAACCAGGGGCTATGATGTGTTCACAAGATCACTCGCTCTTGACCCCATCTCTGTGGTCAAAGCTTTTGTGTCTTCAGCGTAGCAGAAGGAAGTGCTTGACACTTCCACACGCGCAGACATGTTCCGATCCACAGTGTCAGTGAAGTCACCATGTCCCCAAGCGGACGTCTTCTCTACATCCCCCCCCCCCTTTCCCCTATATCCTCTCCGCCTTAAAAAACTTAATTTACTTTTACTTTTTTCTTCCGCCTGTACAGGTGGGTGTCACGGGGAGACACAGGCGTCCGTCTGCAGCAAGGCGAGTGGCCTGCAGGGGAGACATCCCTTAAAATACAACAACATAAAAAACAAGGACAAGCAAACAAACGAAAACTAACCAAACTAAGAAAATACGAGTAAAATAAAAACGCATAGGTTTCACAGTGAGTTCTTTGCAGGTGCTCTTATGTGGTTTGCTCTTTCTTTCCTATCAAATATCTACCGTCCTTATCTCTCCTCTTTCTTTTTTGTGTTTGTTACTCTCTTGTAATACCTCTAATCTTTGGCATATCTATGACTTTTGTTGCGTTGCAAGTGCTGTAAAACTCTTTCTTAAACTAAAAACTAATAGGTTTCACACCTGACAACCGCAAGAATGGAAACAACGCAACCCACGCTTAAAGATTGGGGGTTGGGGGTGTAGAAAAATCTCAAATGATTCTTTATCAGTCTTCATCTGAATGCATATTAAGTATAGATATATATATTTGTGTGTGTGTGTGTGTGTGTGTGTGTGTGCGTGTGTGTGTGTGTGTGTGTGTGTGTGTGTGTGTGTGT